AGCATGTACTGAGTAATTAGTACAACATTTAGTGTTGGTGTTGTAATAAAAAATATATAGCAATTGCAGCACTTGCTGCTATTTGGAAATCGGATTTTGCACTAGCCACTATGCGCAAGTTCAGTTGTTCAATTCCAACCAAAATGACGTTTATTTGCATGTATTAGGGAACATACTGAGCATTCATTATGATGCCAAGTAACACATAAAATACCATTGAATGGCATTGGTACATGAAAATCGGATTTACACACTAACTACCTGGTGTCTTATCCACTAGAACACTGAACTTGTGCTTAACCAAACAAGTATTTGTGAAAGTTACTGAGCATGCAAAAATAATATCTATTGTTTTTTGCAGACGACAGTCAAATCTCTCTTCAAGATAACAAGAAACTTTTGATATACTGTAAGTATTAGTTGAAATATAAGGCCCATAGCCAGGTGATTTTTATGGTTCTGGAGAACCCGCTCTTCCAACCAAACTAATGCACTGCAGACCTGGCCACAAGGACTCGGCCGTTTTCAAGCATGAAGCAAAGAAATCAAAGAACCTGGCTATGGCCCTGAATATGCTGAAGCTTATGAAATTATATTAACTTTATTATTACCTTCATTTTTTCTTCTAATTGTGTCTGTGTCTGTCTAATTTTTAAAAGAATTATATTTTTGGTAGATGCGGCAACAGAGGTGCAAGACAGGAAAAGTACTGCTGCAGAGCAAGACAAGGAAGAGAAAACTACTATAATTAATTTTGTTTGATATAGGCAATATAACTTTAGCTAATTAAATTTGTGATGCCTAATAGAATACAGAAGTTTAGCTTGAACATCTTGTTGAATATTGCGATGCCGTAATCCTGGTGAAAGAGAACTTACAGCGGTTGTATTATTTATGAAGTTAATGCAGCATCAAGGCAACAATTGCTTCATTCTGGGAAAAACTGAGTATATTGTACATGAACTGGCTAATTACAATATGACTAGAAAACCAACTATAATTTATTAATATCTATTATATAAGCCTATTATAATGAATTGATGCCTAATAATTTACATTATGTGATTTTGCTTATGAAAATAAAAAATATAAGTAGTGTGTTGTGTCTTTGCTTTTGAAATTTGAAGACTGATGGATGCAGGTAAGTTATGAAAAGTTGTTGCAGCATCAAGACAACAATTGCTTCATTCTGAAAACCGATTATATTGTGCAGAAGATATGAATTGTCTGATTGAATTGGCTAATTACAATCAGACAAGAGAACCAGAAAGCTACTATAATTTATTAATATAAGCCTAGCAGGTCATTAAGATAATACTATAAGCAATGTTTTGATGTTTCTTTGCTGTTCAAGTTGTGAAGACCGATGGATGCAGGTAAGATTAAAAAAGCGCCCTCCAATAGAAAAAGGCTATATTTTTCCTATGTTCCTCAATTTCTATTAAAAGTGGTGCTGAAGGGTGCCCTCCAATAGAAAGTCAAAATTTCCAGGGTCTCTAAAATTACTATGGCAAACACTTTTGATATTGTAAAACCGATTTTTTTAAGACAGAAAAATGTACGAAAAACTAGGGGAAGGGGTGTAAAAATTCTACCAAATATCAAAAATTGTTTCCCATCCGGAGCCTAACTTTAATTAAGGGGGCCTCTGTGGTGCTGAAAACCGCCCTTTATAGCCATTTTATTTCAACGTTTTTCAGTGGTCTCTTATTTGCCATGAATTCTAGTAATAGGGTGGTAGAGAGTGCCCTCTAATGGCCAGTTTTTTTGTAATTGTGAAAAAATTGGACGTTACAGGGTGCTTTTTAGCGCCATTGACAATTAAGAGACTCTAAAAAACTTTGTAATAAAAAGGCTATTTAGGGCGGTTTTCTTCACTATTTTTATCAGAACCGGACAGATTATTGTGGCCAAATAACTTAGTCATATTTTGGGCCTTTTTCTATTCGAGGGCGCTTTTTTTTTTTTACCATCCTGCTGATTCAATACTCGAGAAGAAATAAACAATATTCAATACTATACTGAATACAATTAATATTTATTTATTCAATACCATTACAATAAATTATTCAATATTGAATACAATTAATATATATTTATTCAAAACATTTTACAATACTAAATAAATAATGAATATTTATTGCAAATATATTAAACCAGAATAGAATGCTTGAACTACCGAATCACGAGTTGCCATAACCTGAAAGAACAAGTCATTGAACAAACAATAAGATCATATATATATATATATATTTAAAGTCAATTTTCATAAATCAAACTATTATGCAAAGTAATACAACAATATATAAAGTCCAATGAAAAGGGAAAATATTTTAAAGTCAATTTTCATAAATCAAACATTTATGCAAAGTAACAACAATATATAAAGTTCAATGAAAAGTGAAACTATTTTAAAGTTATTTAAAGTCCAATGAAAGGGGAAAATATTTTAAAGGTTTTTTTTATAAATAATACTGTAAAACAATATATAAAGTCCAATGAAAAGGGAAAATATTTTAGTTAAGTCCAATGGAAAGGAAATATTTTAAAGTTATTTATAATTAAAACAATATATAAAGGGACAATATTTAGAGAAAGTAATGTAACAATTCATAAAGTCAACTGGAAAGGGAAAATATTTTAAAGTTACTTATAATTAAAAAAAGGGGAAATATTTAAAGTTATAATAATTTAAACAAGACATTTACGATTTCTTCAAGCCACAAAAAAATTTACCAATTGGACAAATTGAAGCTTTAAAAGGATATAATTACTTTACATTACCTGTTTGTCAAATTTGGACAGAAAATATTCGGTTTGGCCCAACCAAACTTCAACTACATTATGATACTAAGTGACCAGGGGTGATCATTCAATTTGGAATTGGTGCCATATAAATATTTGGTATTATTATTATTATTAAGTCACTCTTGGGTAAAGGTTCTCAAGCATTTATTTATCCCACAAAGCAATTTGCAATGGACATAAAATTCATAAGAACATTCACATAGTTTTTTCTTGCACACTCACCATTCAGTAGTGGCAGCAAGAGTAGTCATTCAGCCAAGCAGGGCAGGTTAACTTGTTGCAATGTCCAAGTTTCTTCGAATTTCTACTGTAAAATAAATTACATTAAATAGATTTAGGATGAGGAAATACAAATGCATCATAAATATCAAAACGACGTATTAATCATAGCATAATTAAATATTAAGGCCAACTCAGACAGCGTCGGCCGACAGTCTTAAGCTGTTGTAAGAAATATTAAACATGTTTAATATTCCAAGACATAACTGCCCCCAATGCAAACCATCGCGTCGAGCTGCGTTGTTCAACAACGCTGTCTGAGTTGGGCTTTACATGCAGAATGGTACTTAGCATACAATTTATATTCATAAAAATTACTTAATTTCATTAGTTACTATGCTTAAGTTTTAAAAATCTTGATCAGAATTGCTTTCAATAGATTAAAAAAATTTAATTTGTTAATGTTAAAACTAGCAATGAGAATATGTCATGTTTTACATTTTTATGTCTGATAAAGAATCTAAAATTGAGGTAAGGCTGGACCAGACTAAACTTTATTGTAAGTTTAAATGTTGAAAATTCATCAGTGTTTATTTTCTTCCGACACACACACGCAAATCAAATTTAAGGCATATTTTCCAACTTTTGATGTTTCGACAATTATGCACTTGTCAATTGTAGTCACGGACCCCCCTCGGACGTATTAGAGACTTAACCGCCCGGGATGTAATTTTCAAAACGGTTACATGCACATGAAAATCCCGGCCCAACTCCCGGCAATGTAGGGTATTGTTTTAACGTACATCCCCGGCTACTTCCCCGCCACTTATCGCCATTGTCATTGACAAGTGCATTACAAAATCCAGTCAAAGTAGCTACTATAAATATCCGTACCGTACGTAAAATTGAGGTTCTACTGTAATTATATCATAACGTGCAACCTTACTTTAAATGTTGTTACTCCAATCATGCTACATGCATCCAATAGAATGCTCAATATAAAAAAAAAAAATATATTTAGTCATTCCAAGGCATTTCAACAAAAGGACGCACATCTCAGGACATCAAAGGATATACTGTAACTCTGGCATCGACATTCTACGCACTGCACACTCCTAGCTACAAGCTGACCGCCACAGAAATCATAGCAACCAAACCATCATTAACCATCAACGTGTGACAAATTACCGACGCATATGTCAGTTTCCATGACAATCGCGCATCGTGCAGTGGTTACAAAGGCCTACTCGAAGTTTTGCATTAACATTATTTGTAATTTCAACAATAATTTTACGAATGAGGTGGTGTCCGGTGGTTCATGAGACTCACTTTGCAGAAAAAATAAATAGATTTTCTGCATTTACTCAAATGTTCGTTTTGTGCATCTTAGTCCAACATTGTCAAAATCAGTTTAATGATATATAAGAACATGAATTTTTATAAAAATCATAAATTTTTCATTTTGTTTATCAATTTTTACGAATCAAATTATAGTTTATAGAAGCACTTAACAAGCTGATGGTCAAACGAAATCACATGTAACAGACACTGCGAAGTACCCAAAATTAATAAAATAGTAACTAACACATAAAACGTATGGCACGCATAGACTAATAATTGACGGCTGTACTCACAATTAGTATCGGATATTGTCGATGCCACAGTAAAGATCAAAAGACTGTACGCACGTGCTATTTTCGCTTCTATTTTGAGCTTCTTTTTGTTGAATTGCCTTGGTCATTCACTTCGCATTACAAAATAATATTGGGAACATACTATTACTGCTGATTTCATATTATAAACAAATATTGCATTGCAAATTAGTTCTAATTCTATTTGCAATTCATTCTTAGGTCAATAAAAATAAAATTTTTAAGAGTGTAGGCCTATATCAGAATCATTGTATGAAAACTACCAAAACCCTATTAAGGATACAATTTCACGCTTTGGTTTGTTGGTTTAATAGGGGAAACCCATTAAGGGGATGTTTTTTGGTTCCAAATGTGTACTCTTAACAGGGGAATTGTACTGTATATCGAAGTATTGTACAGGTAATGTCTCGTAACAACAGTATGATATTTGATACATAATTATTAAAGAATATAATTACCGTACTCGCGCGAATAAGCGCCCCATTTGAATAAGCACCCTTCTCTAATAAGCGCGAAGTATAAGTGTGAAAATTTCCATAAGCGCTCCATATGAATAAGTGCCCCTTCTAATTTGAATAAACGCCCCCTCAATAATCCAATCAATCCTGGGACTGTGGATATTGGCATGATTTGATGTGTGGAGTGGAATCACATCCCCTTTAGTCAATATCAAAATGAGGATATTTATCTTGGACAGATGAGAGCTCCCTGGACAGATAGTATATTTTTAACTTTCATCTTCTTACATTTATATACACTAGCCTAGTCCTACTCGTTTTCTGACAATTTGCACCTCTTTAACACATTCTCATCTAAGTTTTCCAGAAAACATGCAATGATCATGCTGTCCTGCTATTCTCAATCGGCCAATGGCCAACAAGCTAACCACCACCACTAATTTAGTTAAAGGTAAAGGTAGGAGAATAACCCATAATTTGCAGCGTCATTGTGCTGAATTGCGTATGGGTATGGCCCAGGACAACCTAGCAGCCGTAAAGAGGCGCTTCTTGATATTTCATCTGCTTTTCTGCTGTTATGTAATACTGTACTCACAACATTATTGTCTTGACAAGCCATGCTCTCTGGACGATTATCTTTTCCGTCGCACCTCCAATTGTCGTTTTTCATTCAAAATATGCCTCTTAAATTTAATAAGGTCTCATAAGAACCCCTCGATTTTCATCTATTTCCATAAGCGCCGTCTCAATTTCCACTCTGTTTTCATAAGCACCCCGTTGGAATAAGCGCCCCTCAAAAAGTGCAAAAAATATTTTAAGCGCCCGGGCGCTTATTCGCGTGAGTACGGTACCTACAGCATCATTTTATTTTTATTTACATGATTTTTGATTTCGATAATTTTTTTCTGACTGCCTTACAGTAATTCTGTCATTGGTTGCTAGCACCTTTGTCATCTTCTTATTTCATACTGCCCACTAATTTAGCGGGCACTAAAACATTTTTTCGAAAACTAAGTTTCCTTCAAGAGTACGCAATAAGAAGCTGAGGTTGTAAAATGAGTGACACAACACTGTAAAATTTCTAAAACTTGATTACAAGACCAAAACAAATATTCCTTTGTATTTTGAAACACAAACACTATTCAACAAATTGCGATTAGAGGACTGCCGGTGCATCGATGTTTTATCAAGCTTATCAGTTCTATAGGATGACAGTCAACAAAACATTGACACAAATTGAAGACTATAGCCAACATTTCATCAAACTATTTTATTTTTTAAAAAATGTTTTGCTTGGATGTTTTCACAGAAATTTTCTGATTTTTAATGTGTTTATTTTAACACTTAAGACTTTCTGTATTATTATTTTCTTTTTTGAGACCCGGTGCTATCTGACGACCCTCTAAAATTCTCCCGCAACCCAAAGTTGGGTCGCGACCCATGGATGACGACCGTAGTACTAGACTGTAAGGTAAGGCCTGTGCCCAGGAATATATCCTCCATTGAAAAATTAGGCCTAGAAACTGCACATTTTAAAAAATAATTAAGGGCCGATTTCCGTGCAGATTTTGCCAAAAATTAAAGTGTCCCGAAAGCTCAGATCTACCAAAGCTAAGACCTAAGACCTAAGATTACGAGATATCAGACCCACTCGAAATATCAGACCCTGAAAATTAAGACCTTCAACTAAGCATGCTAGGATTTCTAGACAATAATATCTTTATTCGAAAGCTAACATCAATATAGAACTGACTAATCATGAAATAAATACCATTAAGTATCATCGATACCAGCTAGGCCCCTACTTGCAACGTTTACTGGAGAAAACAAATACAGTACAAACAAACTGTTGTACGTGTACAGGCTATTCGCACTCCACGGAACCGTACGGTACGGTTTAGGTACGTTTTCGATAGCGGTTTCTAATGCACAACATGCGAAGTCGACACTATGGCAATCAGATGACATATCTCTCAAGGCTAATTTATTAAGGCACAAAAGACTGCGTGAAATCCGATAACTTATGGATTTCAGTGTTTGATTAAGAATATACTCTTCAAATATATAAAATACCGGTATATTTGAAGAGAAGATATTTACCAAATTAAAGACAAATATTTTAACTCCTTCGTATTTATTTGTTTGTATACACTCATGTAGGCCCAACCTCAATAAACATTCAAATATATTTTAAAAATCTTTTTTTTATTAACTTATGCCTATATATTACTGTAGCGTATATAATAATTAAGAAATAGGCCTATGCGCCAATCATTCAATAACGACGATTGTCAGATTGAAACTAACAAACAGTAAAATGTAAAATAGTAATAGATCGATTTTATATTGGACTTTAATGGAAATAAACTTTTAGGCTTTATTGGGTTAGCATGGAAAATCTCAATTACGCTTTCTATTTTTATAATTATTTTCTATTGGCCTATTAAATTATTTTCTTTCTAAATTATATTACCAATGTTTGAGCAATGATTTTCCGAATAAACAAATCATATAATTAGGCCTATTGTTATTTTTATTTATGATTATCATTTCAATGATGATTATGATTATGAAGAAGAAGATGATGATGACGACTAATTATGCTGTATTCGTGAGCAAGAGGCATACCAACCAGAATGAAAATAGTCAATCCTGAAATTTTACAAATGATTTTCAAAGATTACTTTCGACCCAGTTCCTTGTTACCATGCCAGTGCAATTGGCGCAATGGTAAAAATTAAACTTTTTTTTATGTTTGACCAACTTTATAAGTACAGTATTGATTATAAAATAATTCCTGATGATCACATGTAATTAATGTTGAAATATTGAATCCCAACACGATATGGTGTGTATTTCAATACTTGGAGTATGTATTAGACTTTCCTATCTGAGATTAATCAGTGGACCTTTCGATAAAATAATAAATTTTTCAATAATATTAATATTATTCAATGGCATTATTAGTTACAATTTCAACCACAATGATAATATAATAATTGGTGATCTGCTTCTCCCCATTTTTGTTAGCACGATATCTCAAAATTGCCGCGAGCAATGTACATGCTCGCTTCAACGAACATTGGGCTTGGCATGGAATAGTCAATGTGAGATGTTCAATGTGCACTGTCATGCGTGACGTCATCTACGCGCAATT